ACCCTCACACACAGCACCTTCACACACAGCACCCCCATACACTTCATCCCTCACACTCACAGCATCCATCACTCCCACTGCTCCCCTCTCACACACACACACTGCAACCCTCACACACACATACTGCACCCCTCACATACACATGTACTGCACCCCTCACACACACAGCACCCTCACATACACAGCACCCTCACACACAGCACCTTCACACACAGCACCCCCATACACTTCACCCCTCACACTCACAGCATCCATAACTCACACTGCTCCCCTCTGACACACACACTGCCACCCTCACACACACACATACTGCACCCCTCACATACACATGTACTGCACCCCTCACATACACATGTACTGCACCCCTCACACACACACTGCACCCTTCACTCAAACACACTGCACCACTCACACATACACACAATACTTCCATATATATATATATATATATATACAGCCAAAAGTACAAGATAGCACTCCAGGGACTTCCAAGTTGAATGAATAAAACTTAGCTTTTATTAGCTCAAAATAAAAATCAACGTTTCAGTCTGTATCACAGACTTTCATCAGGAAATTTCATTATTTATTTTGAGCTAATAAAAGCTAAGTTTTATTCATTCAACTTGGAAGTCCCTGGAGTGCTATCTTGTACTTTTGGCTGTATCTGTTTGCTGATAAGCACCGGGCAAGTACATCAAGGAAGGTGGAGTGCATTACTATTTTTGTTTTATATATATAGGAGGGCAACAACCCAGCAGCAGGACCGCTACCTCTGCCTTTGTGCAAGGAGGAACAGGAGGAGCACTGCCAGAGCCCTGCAAAATTACCTCCAGTAGGCCACAAATGTGCATGTGTCTGTTTAAACGGTCAGAAACAGACTCCATGAGGGTGGTATGAGGACCCGACGTCCACAGGTGGGGGTTGTGCTTACAGCCCAACAACGTGCACGACGTTTGGCATTTGCCAGAGAACACCAAGATTGGCAAATTCGCCACTGGCACCCTGTGCTCTTCACAGATGATAGCAGGTTCACACTGAGCACATGTGACAGACGTGACAGAGTCTGGAGGCACCGTGGAGAATGTTCTGGTTTCTGCAAAATCTTCCAGCATGACCGGTTTGGCAGTGGGTCAGTAATGGTGTGGGGTGGCATTTCTTTGGGGGGCTGCACAGCCCTCCATGTGCTCACCAGAGGTAGCCTGACTGACATTATGTACCGAGATGAGATCCTCAGACCCCTTGTGAGACCATATGCTGGTGTGGTTGGCCATGGGTTCCTCCTAATGCAAGACAATGCTAGACCTCATGTGGCTGGAGTGTGTCAGCAGTTCCTGCAAGATGAAGGCATTGATGCTATGGACTGGCCCGCCCGTTCCCCAGACCTGAATCCAATTGAGCACATCTGGAACATCATGTCTCGCTCCATCCACCAATGTCACGTTGCACCACAGACTGTCCTGGAGTTGGCAGTGTCAGGATACTGACAGGGATCCAATACGCAGAGTGCGGACAGAAGGAGGTACGTATACCGGACCTTAGAATGGCCGGACTAACGTAGGGACAAAGCAGAATAGTCAAAAGGTAAGCCGAGGTCGAGGGAGCCGGAGGACAGGTAAGCAAGATACAAGCCGAGTCAAAGGAGAGGAGAAGACAACAGGACAAAAGACAAGCAAGGGTCAAAACCGGAAACACAAGATAAAGAACGCGCTGAGTGACTAGCAAGCTAGAACCACGATAGGGCAATGAGCAGTAGTAAAGGTTTCCTTTAAATACCCTGTACCTAAATAGAGACCACGCCCCCAAAAGGTCCGGAATAGCGGTTCCCGGCACTTTATGCAAATGCCGACGTCATGACGTCGACGCTAGCCGTCGCGTCATAAAAGGGGGAGGAGCTAGCGCGGCCGGCGCGAAAACGGCCGGAATATGCCGAAAATGCTAGGGGCAGGGAGCCCCTAAACAGAGAGGATGTCTTCCCTGGATTCAGCACCAACAGGTACCCTGACAGTACCCCCCCTTCTAGAAACGCCCACCGGGCGGATGGGACCGGGCTTAGAAGGAAAACGAACGTGGAAGGCCCGAAGAAGACGAGGAGCATGCACGTCTATACCAGGAACCCAAGACCTCTCTTCTGGACCATAACCTTTCCAGTCTATGAGGTATTGCAGCTTCCCTCTAGAAATACGAGAATCAAGGATGGACTTGATGATATATTCCTCCTGACCATCCACACGGACCGAGGATGGAGGAGCAGAGTGGGAGGAAAATCTGTTACAAACAAGAGGTTTCAATAAAGACACATGAAAAGAGTTAGGGATGTGTAGAGTAGGAGGTAGATCCAGCAAATAAGAAACCGGGTTGATCCTCCTCAGCACCCTGTAAGGACCAATGTAACGAGGAGCAAACTTCAAGGAAGGAACTTTCAGGCGAATGTGTCTGGTACACAACCAGACCCTATCACCCGGAGAAAAAATAGGAGCAGGCCGCCTACGCCTATCAGCATGTGACTTAAACACCGCGGAACTACGTTCAAGAATTTGTCGAGTCTGATCCCACAACTTTCTCAGGTTGGCTATATGAATATCAACCGACGGTATACCCTGGGAAGGAGACACCGACGGAAGAACAGTAGGGTTAAAGCCATAGTTCAAGAAAAAGGGGCTATTACGAGTGGAACCACAAACAAGGTTGTTGTGAGCAAACTCCGCCCAAGGAATCAGACCGACCCAGTCATCCTGGTGTTCAGAAACAAAACAACGTAGATATTGCTCAATTTTTTGGTTAGTGCGTTCGGCTGCTCCGTTAGATTGAGGATGATAGGCCGAAGAAAAATTCAGTTTGATGCCCAACTGGGAACAGAAGGATCTCCAAAAACGGGAAATAAATTGGGAACCCCTGTCTGACACAATCTCATTGGGAATACCATGTAAACGGAAAATTTCTCTAGCAAATATCACGGCCAGTTCAGGAGAGGACGGAAGTTTAGGCAAGGGAATGAAATGAGCCATTTTAGTAAACCTGTCAAGGACCGTGAGGATAACCGTATGCCTACTGGAAGCTGGTAGATCAACAATAAAATCCATAGCCAAACAAGCCCAAGGTTTGTTGGGAACGACTAAGGGCTGCAATAAACCACAAGGGAGATCCCGCGGAAGTTTATTCCTGACACAAACATTGCAAGCCTTGACAAAGTCTTCTACATCCCTACGTAAACCGGGCCACCAGAAGTCTTTGGAGATCAGGCAGTAAGTTTTGTGGATGCCGGGGTGACCAGCGAACTTGCTATCGTGAAAACAGCGAATAATGTCCACTTGGAATTTGGGAGACACGAACAAGCGGCCCACAGGAGTACGTTCGGGAGCAAGAGATTGTTCGTTCATAATATCAGCGAGCAATGGAGAGTGTATTTTGACATTGGTGTTGGCGATAATATTGACTTCAGGAATAATAGGGAACAAAGTGTCCTCTGTAGAGGTGATAGGTTCGTGCTGACGTGACAAAGCGTCTGCCTTAGTGTTCTTAGAACCAGGCCTGTAAGTAAGCATATAATTAAAGTGTGTAAGGAACATAGACCAACGTGCCTGCCTGGCAGATAATCTTTTGGCCTCCCCCATATACGATAAATTTTTGTGGTCAGTCAAGATGGTAACTGGGAGGACAGTGCCCTCTAACAAATGTCTCCATTCCTTTAATGCCATAATGATAGCTAAAAGTTCTCTATCACCAATGTCATATCTCCTTTCAGTGTGTGATAGTTTCTTGGAAAAAAAAACCGCAAGGGTGCAGCGGCTTATCTAAACTTTGTCTTTGGGACAACACTGCGCCTATCCCTGTTTCAGACGCATCAACTTCAAGTAAAAAGGGTAGAGAGGTATCAGGATGAACTAATACAGGTGCTGAGGCAAAAGACTGTTTGAGCGTTTCGAAAGCAGATAAAGCCTCAGTAGACCAGGTTTTGGTATCGGCTCCTTGTTTGGTCATATTAGTGATAGGAGCGATAACAGAGGAGTACCCTTTAATAAAACGTCTGTAATAATTAGAAAATCCAAGAAATCTTTGTATGGCTTTGAGTCCCTTAGGTAAAGGCCAATCTAAAATCGATTTTAGTTTGGTCGGGTCCATCATAAACCCGTCTTTGGAAATTACGTAACCTAAGAAAGTTACCTGAGACTGGTCAAAGCTACATTTTTCCAATTTACAATACAATCCATGTTGTAAAAGTTTCTGTAATACCTTTCTGACTTGTCTATGATGTGAATTAATGTCTCTAGAATGGATTAGTATATCATCCAAATATACAATTACACATTCATGTTGGAATTCTCTAAGAACTTCATTGATTAAGTCTTGGAAGCGGCCGGGGCGTTACAAAGCCCAAACGGCATTACGGTATACTCATAATGCCCGTAACGGGTATTAAATGCTGTCATCCATTCATCTCCTTGTTTAATTCGCACTAAGTTATATGCTCCTCTCAAGTCAAGTTTGGTAAAAATACTCGAGCCCTTTAGTCTGTCAAAGAGTTCAGTAATCAAAGGAATAGGGTAAGCATTCCTGATAGTAATTTTGTTCAATCCTCGATAGTCTATACAAGGACGTAAGGTACCGTCTTTCTTTTCTACAAAAAAGAAACCTGCCCCCGCCGGAGAAGAAGACTTTCTGATAAATCCTTTGTCTAAATTCTCCTTGATGTATTCCTCTAAAACTAAGTTTTCCTTGGTGGATAGAGGGTATACCGTACCCCTGGGAGGCATAGTACCAGGGAAAAGTTTAATAGAACAGTCATAAGACCGGTGGGGAGGTAAAGTATCCGCCTTACCCTTGTCAAAAACAGATTTGAGGTCTAGATATTGTAGTGGTATCTGAACGTCAGTGGATTGAGAAGTGTTAGCATAAGAGTTTATGGGGCAAACAGAAGTAACTCTCTGCAGGCATGCTTTCCTACAACCCATACCCCAAGAAACGATTTCTCCACCCTCCCAGTCAATCTGAGGGTTGTGTCTCTTGAGCCAAGAATATCCTAGTACTACTGGGACTGCCGGGGAGGAAATTAACAGAAGGGAAATCAACTCCTCGTGGAAAATACCAACAGTAAGCTTAACGGGTTCGGTCTCATGGAATATTACTGGTTCAGATAAAGGTCTACCATCTATGGCCTCAACGGCCAAGGGTGTATCTCTCAGTTGGAATGGGATACAATGCTTATTAGCGAAAGTTTGGTCTATAAAGCTTTCTGCTGCTCCAGAATCTAATAATGCCATCGTAGTAATAAACCCCTTTTCCCAAGCTAGAGAGACAGGAATCAGAAGCCTATGGTCTCTTTTATTATGCATAGAGGACAGTAATGAAACACCCAAGGCCCGTCCTCTAAGGGAACTTAGGTGCGAGCGTTTCCCGGACGATTAGGGCAACTAAGACGTAGGTGACCTCTCCGCCCACAGTATAAACAGAGACCCTCCCTTCTTCTGTACTGTCTCTCAGCCTCAGATAAGCGAGTATTACCTATTTGCATAGGTTCTGGTGGAGTAGGATTATAGGAGTCAGGGTTCTGAAATGAGGGAGCGAGTCTTACAGGAAGTCTAGTAACTCTTTCCCGAGTGTTCTGCCTCTGTCTCATGCGCTCATCTATTCTGGAAATGAAGGATACTAAATCCTCTAAATTTTCCGGAAGTTCTCTTGTGGCAATTTCATCTAGAATTTCATCAGACAACCCATTCAAGAATACATCCATAAAAGCTTGTTCGTTCCATTTCACTTCTGCTGCCAATGATCTAAACTCTAGAGCATATTCTACAAGGGTCCTATTCTGTTGTTTAAGGCGTAACAGGGATCTGGGTCAAGCATTAATCTTCCTTCCTGGGGGGTCAAAGGTTCTTCTAAAAGCCGTGGACAAAAGCAGTGTAGTTGTAGACTAAAGGATTGTCATTCTCCCAAAGGGATTGGGCCCATCTAAGTGCTTTATCTATTAGCAGGGTTATAATA